TACCGGACGACCTGACGCCAGAGGAGAAGCAGGAGCTGGAGAACATTAGGAGACGTAAACAGGAGCTGCTGGAGGACATACAGGTAAAGTCTTCAGATCACGGTTGTTTGAACTCTTTTTCGGTCAATGTTGTGACTGGTGGGATTAAATGGGTTGACCAAATCAGTCTAATCTCCCCCTTTCTTGGAATTTCTTCACTGACCCTGGCTGTACAGTATTAGTGTACAGGACTGATGGGACATCCCACCCTGGGATATAGACTGTAACAGCTGGCTCATGAGGGGGTTGTATCATTTGGAGCAGATGGTGCAAGTCGAGTCCAGCAAATTCAATTATGCTGATTCTGTTACGCAATTGGAATGTCAACCAAACACAATCCTCTCCGTCTCCTAAATGACTTAATCAATCATGCAAACCTCTAAATGAAGTTCGGTGGCGTATCATTGGCATCGATCAGGCCACTAACTGCCAGTTCCATTGCAGTCTCCTGCTATTGCCTTATTGTCCTTGAACAACGTGAATGTCATCAACAGAATTAAAATTAGAGATTTGCTATACAATTTTTTATTGTTGCAGGTACATGTATGTGTATGTGTTTTGGGAAAAAATAAGTATTGACCATGTAATGTTTTTTACTGGGAATAAATTTCTAAGGAGCCGTTCACATGGGATTGAACCAAATTTTGGTAAAAACCCGAAAATAAAAATAAAACAAAACAAAAAAAATCTGCCAAAATTTGTACCTTGTAATAACAATGAAATGACACAAGGAGAAAGAACTGAACTATTGAAACGTGTTTAATACTTTATATAAAAGGCTTTTTTGGTGACGGCAGCTTAAAGACGCGTGACATATGGAGAATGAAGTCACATGCTTTGGTCAGGTGTGAGTTTTTCACAGACTTCAACAGAGTGTAAAAAACTTGATGGTTCTGTGGGTCTCGTCTATCAAATCTGAGCTTTAATTTGTATTCTATATTATTCGAGTCAGGTGAATGGCTGGGCCATTCTACAGCCTGATTATCTTTCTCTAAATACATTTGAGAGTTTTCCTGAATGTGTTCTGGATCATTGTCTTGCTGAAATATCCACCCATGTTTCATCCTGCTAATGTAGATGTTGGACTGAAGCAGCTGAAATTAATTTACATTGACGAAGGACAGAGGGTTGCTGAAGAACTACTTAGAGATTTCTACTGCTGTCTGGGCTTTCACTGGCTCTCTACACCTCCCTTTCTTCATATGTTCAATACTTTTTCCCTTCGTCATTTTATTTTATTATGCAAAACTTTATTTGTAAACTAATTAGATTTAATTTCTTTGCACATGTCAATGTCTTTGGTTGTTACCCAAGTCCGGGGAAAATTCAAGTCAACAGGATTTTTAGAGATATGTTTTCTGATATAAATGTTGATGTGTTCTTGTAAATAAGTTTAATATTAAAATTAGTTGTCTTTAGAATTGCGCTTTTTATTTTAAACGTTCGTTCGTTCATTTATTCATTCATTCATTCATTCATTTATTGATTCATTTTCTTTTCCGCTTAGTCCATATATTAATCTGGGGTCGCCACAACGGAATGAATGCCAATTTATCCAGCCTTTTTTTACACACTGGGAAAGACCCATACACTCGCACATTCACACACATTTACTGTGGCCAGTTTAGTTTTTCTCATTCACCTGTACCGCATGTCTTTGGACTGTGGGGGAAACCGGAGCACCCAGAGTAAACTCACCCGAACACAGGGAGAACATGCAAACTGTACACACAAATGCCAACTGACCCAACCGAGGCTCAAACCAGAGACTTTCTTGCTGTGAGGATATTGTGCTACCCCCTGTGCCACCGTGCCGCTCTTATTTTAAGCAAACAAACAATAAAACAATTTTTTTCAATTAATCCAGAATCGTGAAGTTCTAGTTTTTAGTTTGAGTTTATTTTCTTCAGTTTTTGAAGGCTCTAACCAAGGATCTAATTGTTTGATGGAAAATACAGTAAAACCATTAATAGTGTAAAATGATATAGAACAGGGGTGATAGCGTTCCGGCACCACGCCGGATTTCCGGCGTACTGTAGCTGCGGGTAGGGTTGTGACGGTGAGGAAATTTCCCCACCGGTTAATCGACATGTGACAACACCGGTAATACCGGTATCACCGTGGGAGTGGGCATTTTTTCATTTCCTCTTTTTTTCTGATTTTAAATAGCTTATAAATGCGTGCATATAATACTTTCACTTTCAGTTTTGCGGGAGTTGCCAATTCGGTGTCAATTGTTTGAATGGACGGAAAGGAAACTACAAAAAAAATCCCTGTTATTAAACAAAACATAACTTTTATTTACATAACGAATAAAACACAACACTGCTACAGGCTGAAAAAACTGTGTAAGTTGGAACCATACAAATAACAACCATAAACGCCTATGTTATATATTAACAGCTTAGTCCTTATGAACAATCCGTTTATAAAATACATTATTAACGAATTTAGGCTATTGAAGAATAAACCGAATATGAAATATGATCCTTGCATAATAATCACAACTAAACAAGCGAGCACTCATTTTATAATTAAACTATATGAAAAAAAATTAAGAATTGAAACATTATGTAAAAAATCAAAGGGCAGGCTAAATAAAAGCGCCTCGTCAGAGCTAAACACCGCATGTGTCAGTTTACAGCTTCTGGAAAGATCAGACAACCTATACAGATCACACAATCTCAATAAACAACATGTAAATGTATAAATATTTCGATAAGTATTGTTATGGAATATTTATAACTAAATGATCTTGCTTTTTGGTTTTATCGATACAGCTTTGATCTCTCTTACAAGCGGCAGTTACAGGCGCAGCATAAGGGCGTCTTACACTGTCAATGGCGGAATACACACAGCACTGCCAAGACGTTTTATTTTTATTTTATTTGTTGCAGATTTGCACGTTGTTCCTTTAAAAAAAACTTTTATTTTTTAATTCTCTCAAGTTAATGTTGTCTATCGAGTAACTATCGAGTCCCTCGGATTGGAGTTCAGTGCGAAGGCTATTGACCAACCGCCCTGTAAGTTTAAACACTACAGGTCCACAGCTCTGGTGTGGTATGAATTACACGTTTTAAATGACAGCGAGACATGCTACGTTTAGTTTTTATTGTAAAATATACATTATAACCCAGTACACGGTAAAATAATGTTTTGAATGGCTTGTCTATTGACGGCGTATAGCCGTTAATTAAATATGCTGAGCATTTTTTCATTAAAATTAAAACACATTAATACAAATTAGCCACCCTTTGATTTTTTTTTGTTTACGTATATTTTTATCAAACGAAAAATGCAATGAATTGTTAATTTTTGTTTTCATTTTATTCGAAATAATAGGCCTATAATTTATAGGCTACACAGCTCATATCTTTGGCTCCAATTGCGTTTTTACAGATATCCTACCAATAGACTTTTTTTTGGCTCAAAGACATTTATGCCTATTAATTTCAGAGGTGCATTTTGACAGATTTCGTAAAGGCTTCAGCTATTCTACCTGTCAGCTGCACCTGCCTAAGTTTTGCAACTTGACTTGTGTTGTGGCTCGATGTCTGAATGAGAGAGAGAGAGAGAGAGAGAGAGAGAGAGAGAGAGAGAGAGAGAGAGAGAGAGAGAGAGAGAGAGAAATCAGTCCTCAGATTCGATGTGTGGCCGCACGTCTCAGTTACTTTATTGCAATTTTTAATATTGGCTCATCTAAATAAACTTTTCATATATTAAAAGCCGAAATATTGCCAGACAGAAGAAGCAACTTTCGGTTTTTGAAGAGAGCGGCCTCAGTTATAAAAGATGCGCGCATACACAGGATTCGATCTTTTTGGCCTAGGCATTATGGATTTTTTTTGACATTAAACACATAATCAAGTGGAAATAAGAACAGCTGAACTTCGGAAAAAGTCCTGCACGTTGCCACGATGTTTCTCTGCAGTTGGATTGTCAATGGCGCAGCATTGCTAAATCACTCGTTTTAATTAAAAAAAAGATATTTATTATTAAACATTGTGAGATGATGGTCGCGTGAATTTTTTTTAAATGAGAGTGCGTTGCGTATGTATGGATCTATCCGCGACCCACCCATAGTTAAACATGAAGGTGCGTGTATAAATTAGTTATGTTTCCAGATACTGCCACCTTTGTCAGGCAAAGTTTGCAGATCGCCTCATTAACGTCGTCAGGTTCTCTTATGCATTTGGTTTGAACCCAAAATTTTGCCAAATATGCGCCTTTGCATTGCGTTTTGACAATAAATCGTCCGCCATCCTCTTTCTGTAAATTCGACTCCTCTTTCTCCTCACGTGGTAAATGAAATATGACGCACTGTAGCTTTAGATTTTAATTATAGAGCATGCTCTCGTTTTAAGTCAATTATTTATAATTATATTTTCCATTTATTTTAAATAAATGTTTAATAAAAAAAAAATAAAAAACGAATACTTAAAAAACAAATGTGGGGGACGGTGTCACGGTAGAAAAGTGATGTCACCGGTGTTGCGTCTTAACACCGGTATCACCGTCAACACCGTCTATCGTGGCAAGCCTAGCTGCGGGGAAAAAAAAAATCAGGTTCACGGATATTGATCTGTCATTCACTCACTGCTGAAAGCGCCGGATTGGTTTTTATTAAGTGCCATTTTGTGTGCTCGTGAATCATCTTTTGAGTGTAGACGCCATGTAAATAAAAGATTAATTGTGTAATTTAGAGAGCTTTATAAATTATAACGGATCTTTGTGAGATCTCTATGAACTAAGATTAGTGACGCTTTTTAGTGATAATAAGAGGAGCGTGCTTTGCACTTTCCAGGCTATAATCCATTCAGAATTTGTATGAAACTTTCGTTTTCGGCACATATACGCTGATATGTTTTGGGAATGACATCTGCATATTTACGCTGGGTTTATTCTCGAAATAACGGTGAGGCAATAGACGGGACAAAAATATATTTCCCCCTTCTCCTTAAACAACTTAGTGTTTCAGCTATGAAATAGTTCAGTTTTGTATGTAGCCTAATGGCAAAGTGTTTATATTTAGTTTCGTTTTTTA